TTCGCACTAAGAAGGTGCCATGTTTAAGGACCTTTGCGTAACTTTTGGTTGGTAATTCTACTGCGCACGCAATACATTATCAATGGCGGCTGCAAAGCAAGACCAAATTATTTTAGGGTTAGCGACCGCTGCAGTAGCTTGGCATGAATTAAATGATTTTCAAGACCTGATGATTTCTGATCTTGGGCTAAATGAGGCCCTGATCTCTTGCAATTCTGTTAACTCCTTCAATATCGAACTTTTAAATGGTGATATATACTTTTGAGCTTGGCTTATTTTTGATCTTATTGCACTAGCTTTTACTGTCTTAATAAGTAGCTGATGGCATCTCTAAATTTTTCATATGTGCGAGACTTCAAATTGTATGATCTCAATTTTAAAACACTGCCTAAGTGAAGAAAATGTTTTTACAAAATGTGGGTGTGTGTGGATTGTTAGCGCCAACTTAATTAAAGCTTGATATTACGTAAACCTAAATACGACCTCTTTTAATAACTGCCAAATGTTCATGCCCGCCTGTTTTTTTTTTTCAATCAATTAATCAATCTTTTTATTTCTTAATCAGTTACACTTTACAGTTTCTAAATTTCTAAATTTCATGTAATTTCTGATTAAGGTAGTAGGGTAATCGTTTTAAACGAAATTTTAAATTCAAACGCAGTAGCAGGCAATTCCCCTCTGGTCTCTCTATCTCTTTGTTTCATTTCTTTTTTAAGTTTATTTTTATATTCTCTTAGAAATCTTAGAATAATTTCTGAAAAAGTTGTAGGAATAAGTTGATAACAAATTCATGTGATTTAGCTATATACTCCAGGCAAACATTCCGCTTCAAAATGGCTAATTTTCAAGCTACATTGTCTCGTACATGACCCTGAAAATGATTGTCCTCATTTTTGGGCAAAACATCGCTTTTTTTCTTTAAAAAAGTGAATCAATACCTCTATCTGGACAACAAATAAACGGAGTTTGAGCAAGTTGGAGATTTCACATTTTTGCTGCTATTTGCGCATTTCTTTTGATTCTTGCAAATATTTATTCTTAAGCGTTTAGTTAGTCCCAACATTACTTCAATGCTTACCACAATTGCCCCACTTTCCCTTGTAGGCAGCGTCTAGCGAACACCACAACTTGTTGTGATTAGTTTTGGTACAGGAATGGTATGTTACTCCTCCGTAAGTGAAAGGTATGCTGCAGCATTGGCCATCCGTTGTCTTTTGGACACATTCAGCTTTTGTTGAGGACGTTTCAAAGACAAACATGAAAGGAACAACAAAAATTTAAGGTGAACTTATCAGTCTACTAGTTTGGAATGAAACGGTCTCGCCATAATATCATTAGCTATTATTTTATACCTTTGAAAATGCCGACATGCCAATTGCTTTTACCATGAACTATTAAGTTAGTGGTAAATCACACTAAGAAGATGCCATGTTTAAGGACCTTTGTGCAACTTTTGGAGCGTAACCGTACTGCACGCGCAATATATTTTCCTGTGTGATGTATCAAGGGTGGCTGCAAAGCAAGACTAAATGATTTGAAGATTAGAGACTGCTGCAATAGCTCGGCATGGATTAAATGATTTTCAAGACCCGATGACCTCCGATCTTGGCCTGAAAGAGGCAATTATCTTTTGCAATTCTGTTAACTCCTTTAATATTGAACTTTCAAAGGGTAATACATACTTTTGAGCATGGTTTATTTTTGAGCCCATTGCATTAGCTTTTACTTTCTTAATAGGTAGCTGATGGCATCTCTAAGTTATTCAGTTGTGCAAGACTTCAAATTGTATCAACTAAATTTGAAAACATTGTCTAACTGAAGAGAATGTTTTTTCATAAAGTGGGTTTGTGTGGAATTTTAGCGCCAATTTTGTTACGCTTGATATTGCCTACATGTAAATACAACCCCTTTAAATAATATAACTGTGAACTGTTCATGCCTGGCTGGTTTTATTTTTAAATTTCATTTAATTTCTGATTAAGATAGTAGGGTAATCTTTTTTAATCAAATTTGTAATTCAAACGTAGTAGCAGGCAATTCCATTCTGGTCTCTCTATCTCTCTATCTCTCTATTTCATTTTTTTTTAGTTTAATTTATTATTTTTTTTACATATGCTTGGAAATGTTAAAATAATTTCTGGAAAGGTTGTAGGAATAAGATGATAACCAATTCATGTCATTTTGCTGTACACTTCAGGCAAGCATTTCGCTTCAAAACGGCTAATTTTGAAGCTATATTGTATCGTACCTGACCCTGAAAATGATTGTCCTCATTTTTGGGCAATATATCAAATATTTTCTTTAAAAAAAAATGAATGACACAGCCATCAATACCTCTATCTGGACAACAAAGAAACGGAGTTTATGCAAGTTGGAGATATCACATTTTTCCTGCTATTTCCGGGTTTCTTTTGATTCTCACAGATATATATTTTGAAACGTTAAGTTCATCCCAACGTTATTTCAATGCTTACCACAATTTCCCCACTTTCCCTTGTAGACAGCGTCCAGCGAACACCACAACTTGTTGTGATGAGTTTTGGTACAGGAATGGTATGTTACTCCTCCATAAGTAAAAGGTATACTGCAGCATTGGCCATCCGTTGTCTTTTGCACACATTGATCGGCTTTTGTTGAGGACGTTTCAAAGACAAACATGAAAGGAACAACAAAAATTTAAGGTGAACTTAGCAGTCTACTAGTTTCGAAAGAAACGGTCTCGCCATAATATCTTTAGCTATTACTTTATCCCGTTTAAAAATGCCGAGATGCCAATTGCTTTTGCCATAAACTATTAAGGAAGTGGTAATTCGCACTAAGAAGGTGCCATGTTTAAGGACCTTTGCGTAATTTTTGGTTGGTAATTCTACTGCGCACGCAATATATTATCAATGGCGGCTGCAAAGCAAGACCAAATTATTTTAGGGTTAGCGACCGCTGCAGTAGCTTGGCATGAATTAAATGATTTTCAAGACCTGATGACCTCCGATCTTGGCCTGAATGAGGCCCTGATCTCTTGCAATTCTGTTAACTCCTTAAATATCGAACTTCTAAATGGTGATATATACTTTTGAGCTTGGCTTATTTTTGATCTTATTGCACTAGCTTTTACTGTCTTAATAGGTAGCTGATGGCATCTCTAAATTTTTCATATGTG